GACTCCGTTCAATCCGGAGAAAAGAAACACTCCCGGACGGCGAACAAGCAAACGAATTTTCTTTGGGGGATTTCGGGATTTTCCGCGCGCCTCCTCGCCGGCGAACCGTTTCCGCAATGTACTCGGTTAAGATTTAAGATTATTCAGATAATCTTAATGATCTTGTACACAAAATTTAATGATAGATAATAATAAAGAGGATTATTATTAAACGATTTAGTTATTGGAACTTTGTACTATGTATGTATACTGAATTTTCGACGATCGGATATTCTGTAAAAGCATAAAATCCACAGTGGAAATATTATATTCTAACGTTAACATATCGTATATAAAATTATAATATTCGACATATCATTCGTAATACTGAATATAATAGAAATGTGATAGCATGAAAATGTTGAATTTCTTTATCGTCAATCTCTTCTTCCACTTTATTATGAGAAAGTGAGTTTATAAGTCAGACTCAGTAGAATAAGACTGTTTATAGTCAGACATGTCCTGCGAGCAAGTTTCGTACGAGAGATTTTCTACTTCCTTCATTATCTTTTTTGTTCACTACTTTTCATATGAATGCTTAACCAAACGCAGGTATCATAATACACTTGCTTAAGCAACACCAAGAAATCCGATTTTACAAATGAGTCTGAGTTTGCAAGTGGTTTCGGTTGTATTATAGAAAAGAACAGACTCTGTAATAACATTCGATGTTATACTAAACCGTGAGAACAGACCATTGTGAAGAATTTTCAGAATTCCTGGAAAAATAAGCCATTCTTTCCATTAAATATCGCTTTGCATTAAATCAGCCATTCCTTTCTATTTCTTTGCAACCTATTATTATAATAGTACGTTTCTTGTTTCGAATTCAACCTTCAATTTCTCTCCCTACCATCGAATATTTTTATATCACAGCCCTCTGTCCATGTAATCCCCGTAACACAGTCTCTCCTTCTCCTTCAGTATCCCACTTTCCTGATTTGATCCCTTTAATCTCCTCCTGATCTCCACCTTTGTTATCTGACATTTTGAGTCGCTCTTTTGCTTGTTCAACCATCCCCTCTGTTTTCGTCCCCTCCTCTGCCGCCCATCCCGTTTTAAGATCCCCAATTCTTAATCCCACTTCATTTCATTCTGCCCCCTTCCCTTAATCCATGTGTCTCTCTCGAGACCTTCTCCATTTCTAGGATTCTCAATCGTTAATCCATTGGCTTTTGACTCTCCTTTCTGTAAGACCCACCCCCACCCCCTCCCACTTCCATGAGATTTAGAATCTTTTCCGTAGACACGCTTCCATTTAAATATTCCAACCGTTTCTTTCTACAATGTGACATTAGTAGACGAACACTTCAACTCGAGAACAGCCTGAAAAAACTATATTATAAATAATACATACATTCTTATTGATTCCCCTTATATTATAAATAATATATACACTGCCAATTCATAAGCACTGGGACACCTTACTATTCCATCTAATATATCTCTCTTGTTTACCATAATATCTAGTTCTTTCGCTCAGCTTCCTTCGCAGCATCACCTCCTCCATCTTCTCGCCCCAACTCTCCCTTTTATCCACCTTCTGTTTCGCAATCTGCCCCACTCTGTGAACCCAACGCAGCCCACAAACGAACGTCGACGATATGCACCTGTGCGCTTTCATGCCCTCTCCCCCCCTCTATCGCGGTCCCCGCCAGCTAGAGAGAACCGTATGCCTCTTTGATGTCACTTGCCCAGACTCTCTCCTATGTACCTGGGTAGACGAAAACGGGAAGGAGAGAACGGCAAACGACAGAGAGACGCGACCAAAAACGCTCTTCAAAGCGCAGATTTACGTTTCACCAGGCGGCTTTCCACCGGGCACGGCGAGAATGTTTTCCTATTCCATGTATCCGGCAGCAGCCTAGCAGACACGCGAGTAGCATCAGCCCCCTCCGGCCGGCGAGACGCGTTTTCCAAGGGTAAATCGGCCTCCCCCCTCCTGGCGAACGCTTTAATCGTCGATCCTTTGGGGACAAGGGGAGGGCAGCCCACGTCGCTTCAAACGATGATGAACCTGTGTGTGGTCGACCTCGATTTTTCAACGTGGCAACTGATGAGAGAGTCCACCTCGTATCCCCGTCCGAGAACACGCGAATTTCTTCCGATGATCTCATCCGTTTAACCTGTCTCTGTCGACATTCTTTTTTTTGTGCTTGCAAAGTCTTCGGCGCGATTTTGCCTCCGATGCTTCATGACAAGCTGGTGTGAATATTAAATTAATATTTCTCGATGTCAGTATTTATGAGGTTCGGATATTAGCAGTTAAAGATATGTTCGAATAATTCCTGACACAGAAATTTCTGCTGTTTCGAGTTTCGTTTCTAAGATGTAGAATGTACAATTGTTTATGAGCCCATTTTTGTAAAAATATGATATTGGTATTTCTTGCACCAAACCACAGATTTAAAAAAAGACACAAATTTAGTGTACTGGATTGGTATCGAAAAGTATACAAATTTTACAGATTATTTGATATGTTTTAATTAGTCATGGCGACGATGGTCATTCCTACAGCAGTCAATGTGTTAATACATTGAGTAATATACAAGATACCCTGTAATTCTGATGTATAACAAATTGCATGCGGTTAAGATAGTGTCGAAGTATATTTGGAAATATTATTTCTTGTGATTTTTCAGATCAGAGGCCGTCGATAGATCAGCAGCAGAGACCTGGAAAAATCCACTGACAAGAAGGGAGAAATCGATTATCGTGACCACCAGAGTGACTGACACAGGAAGACTGACCAATCAACAGAACGACTCCGTTGGAATTGTTTTTCGAGCAACTCTACCACCAACGCAAAGCATACTTCGATACATGTTTCTCTTCTGAACCATCGTCAAATTCTAAGTCTCAGCCACTTCAGCCAAGTTCCAACATCAGAAAGACATCTTCCTCGGTATCGATAACGAAAAGTCTCCATAAAAATTCGCCGTAACATCGACACCGCCTAAATATTCCAATTTTCAGATACTTCCAACCACGCCACGATCATCGTGAGGACAAAATCCCGTCGGTGCAACGTCACCGATCCAGAGGATCCATGCCGTTCCACCAAAAATTTTCTCGGAATCTCCGTTCAGACCAGTGGACAAACGGTTTCGTCGAATCCTGTCGAAACCAGCGACGAGGGAAAAATTCGAATTTCATCGAAGGCGTGTGATGGAGCACTGTTCTCGCGGGACAAGGAGGCGAGAGATTCGGACGACGATAAATTCGGATCAGCGGCGCGAATAAATCCTCGGGCGCGTCGAAGGGCGAAACGGATGCCGGAAGAGAGAGTCGCCGGTGGGGGGGGGGGGGGGGGAGGGAATAGAAGATCGCTTGGATAAATTCCCGTGGACCCGCGAATAAATTGAAAGAAATACAGGGAAGGGGGCGAACAAAAAAGAACGCCTGATAAACAGTGAGTAATGGGGACGCGAATTGCCCGCGCTTGACGAACGAACGACCACCCACGAGAATTCTTCCGGTGGCGCTGATTGGAGGACGTGAAACGACTCGAAATATCGGAAATTCGAAATATATGTCGGATGATATCGCAGCATCTTTGATCTTTCGTGGATTTTTTTAGAGAGTCTTATTGAGGAGAAAAGGAACAACAGGACCGGAGGATTTTAAAGGGAGGAGAGATTAGAGGATGAGAGAGAACTGAGAGGGAAAAGCTTGGCGAAGAAAGTTCCTAGTGGGAAGTTTGTAAAGGGGTGTTCGGAAGAAAAATTTCGAAGAAAGGTAGATACCTGAGGGAAAGTTTAGATAAATTTTAGAGAAGTTTCGGGGGATGATCTGAGATAAGATTGGAACAAGCTGCGTTGAGGGTAGAGGCCACGGTAAGAAAAATTAAATTAGGAAATTGAAGGGAAAGGATTTGAAGACGATTTAAAGAAGCTGGAAATCTGTGGAAGAAGAAAATACCTGAAGCGGTTGGAGAGTCCGAGGAACTGGAAATATTTGAGAGGATATCTACAGGAAAAAAAAACTGAAGGCCTGTTTAAGGGAAAGAAGAAATTATGGGTTAAAGGGAGTACTAAATAGATGTGTAAGAAAGGTTATGATCCTGAGAAATACAAAAAAATATGTTAGAGAAAGAAGAAATCTGACAGTAGTGTGAGGCAAGAGGAGACAGAACACCCTAGGAACATCACAATTATCAATATTAACAATTATTCTGTAGAAGGGGATTTTTAGTTTCAGAGAATTCTAAAGAATAAAAAGGGTAATTTATAAAACGGGGCATAATAGAAGAAGAATAAGAAACACAGAAAAACTCAGAATATCTTAAAAAGCGTGCTTGAGAATCTGTAAGTATTTTATAAGGGGTCCATGCATTTGAAAGACGTGTAAAATACGGTGAATGAGATGATAATAAAAAAAGGACACGAATAAATCCAGAAGAGAATTGAAAATGAGAGAAGATCAAAGAAATCTTGGAGATCTTCAGAAAAATTAGGAAGTAGTGATCCAATAAATATGTAACTACAAGTAGTCAAAAGGTACAGACTAATGGAAAGTCACTTTGAAGGATACTACCCAGACACCGTAAAGCCAAGTTTCACCTAAATATTAAGTGTTATTCGTACACATTATTCCACTCACCAAAACAGTTTAACGTTCACTCCTAATGGCGCAATACAATTTAACGTATTTGTGGCCATTAAATGGATACGAGAACCCCCATCAAAGAGCTTACGGCTAACCGTAAAAATACCAGACGGCTGACGGTATGAACATCAAAGTGAAGACGACACTTCCAACGTCGCCATAGAAGAGACACCCTATTTTCTTCACGCTGAAAACTTCGTTCTTATTCTGTTCGTATCTTACCAACGAAAAAACTTGCAATTGAACGTGGAGAACGATGCCACAGACTTCTGTATATCGACAGGTGTATTCGATACGTTTAGTTGAAGTGGAATTTTTATTCAGTGTTGTTGATATAAAACGAGGATAAAAAGATGATGGCGGGTACTGGGGTGAGTGTCGGTGGGACCGCGATGCTGAGGACCAGGCGCAGGGATGTCAGCGTGAAACCGAACAGAAAACTCGACCGGAAGTCCTCCAGAGGGATGATCTACGAGAACGAAGAACTGAGGCTGAGGACCATTCATATCAACGCTGAGGTAGAACAAGGTAAGACAGAAACTTTGGAAGAACTTTTATTCGTGTAACACCAGCGATAGCTAGACTGTGAATGCTTATGCATTTTTAACATCACCGAACCCAGAAGAATTCTGAAAAAATGTGAAAAAGATCTGACAAAAATCTAGAAAAGTCTGAAAAAAAAATCTAAAAAAGTAGTGTAGTAAAATAGTAAGCTTACTGAAATATAAAATCTGAAAAACAAGCGTAGTAAAATAATGAGCTTACTGAAGTTTAACCTCTTGCAAACGGAGTGTTTCGAAGCTAAACAAAACTTTGGGAAGTTGAACTCGATACTACGGCAATAATAGATAAGTATTCATTAGATTTATCGTAAGTGCAACAAGTTATGAACGTTTATGGAAATTTCCTTTCTAACGGACGATTCTATTGCGATTTCGTAGAAATACATGTGAACAGTGACTAGTAATTTTGAAGGCGGGAGTATGGCAGGCCTGGTTCTTCGTCCATCCACAAATAGACGCCGTCGTACACTAGAACCGTGCGTCGAATACGCTGCGAACTATTTTCGAAACTTGGCCAAACGCGCCAAGCTTGCCCGGCCGACGTGCCGGCGGTTCCAGCCGTTCGAGAGCGTTCGAACGGGAATTTAGCGACCGCTTTAAACGGACAATTCGCAATAAATTATCGCTCTAAACAGTCCCCCATGCTTCGCGAAACGTAATATTTGTGGGGAACGATGATATTTGTGCGGTACCTTTAGGTACGAGAGAGAAACACAGAGAGACTATTTGTTTTCTCTTCTTTATTCTGATAACCTGTGTGTTTCGAGGAAGTTTCTGGTTGAATGATCGCTTGAAAGTGAAACGCGCGTTTCGTGTCGGTTATCGAGGGAACGGAAATGAAGAGGAACGCGGAAAGTGGAGAGATTAATGTTCTGATGGAATTGATTGCTCTTCTGGACAAATGATTCGAGGTCTCTGAGGATGGTAAGTGTTGGGAGTGATGATTGACTACAGACCTAGACTTTTATGGATAAGTTGACAAGATTTTTCACAGATTTAGGAATTAGTAATCAGTTAATTAGTATAAACTTTAGAAATTTTAAAGAGAAAATATTTTTAATACGAAAAAGGAATAATATGTTGATCTAGAAGATACTAGACTGAATAATTAGAATAAAAAGAATAATCAAAGAATAGTAAGAAAAATTGAAGATAATTCGTTGCCAGGAACATTTCTAAACAATACGTTGAAATTCCAATATAAGGAACAAACGTACAAGAAGGTGATTGAGATGAGATGGACAATACTATTAAATACAAAGAAAAATCTATGTTCTGAGAATGATTTTTCCATTGTCACTAAAAAATTATGACTTTCGTGCCAACGGTTTCGTTTTCTTTTTCTGAATCCAATTTCCTGTATTAACATTTTCACGCCACTCTGTGATTTTTATTTTTATGCGAACGAAGGATCGCTGTATTATAAAATGCCAAGAAAACGGGGATAAGAGGTGGTTAACGGCGAAGAAAGGGGAGGGTAATGACGCAATCATGGCGGAGTGTATACCGCGATGGAATATTATCGTAGTGGCGAAGAAACGTGAAAAGCCGGCGATTCCCTCGAAATTTGTTTACCCACCGAGCCAAGAAAAGCTTTGTTTTGGCAGCCATTGCTCCCCCACGGATCTTGGTTGTCCGTTCGAAGCTCTAGAAACCCAGATGTCGTCGCGATACGGTATACGCTCTTCGTACACGAGCGATCCGTCTTCCCCTATAGCCACCGCGGAAATGTGGTTCTCGAAAGTCAAAACAATTTCGACGGCCCTGGGATGAAATGTTGACGTTGCCCAAGATTTATTAAAGCGTCCCGAGGCCCCCGATATATTCCGATAGGAGAGATCGAGTTCAAAGCAAACCCACTGGGATCATTCACGGCGTAATACTGGTCGTTCGTCGATCACAGACTTCATGTACTACGGCGATAACAAACAGAAGAAACTCCGCGCGGAAACTTGCACCGTGTGAAATTATTTACAAACTTCGCCACAGAGATTTCAGACTTACAACGAAAGATGAAAAAGAATTTTTTTTTAGATTTCCCTTCGAAAATTGTACGTAAGTTCACGAGGAACTGTGATTCAAATTGCAGGGAATTTAATAAATTGCACCGGGAATAACGAAAATTCGATGAATAGTAATTTGAAATTTCCGTATTGCGATAGTGTTCTATCTCGTTCACTGAAGTAGTGAAAATTTGAAAAGTTTTACTACATAGTTTGGTAGAATTGTCGATAAGTCATTGATGAATCGTTCTGTTTGAATACAATTGTAGTACAATTTGAATTTAGATAATATTCCAACTTCATTTTTTGTAAAAGTGACGGAAAATGATCGAGACCAAAGATGCAATATATCACTTGTGTGGCACAGGCTTTTCGATATTCGGAAAAATGAACATAAAATTTGGCAAAATGTAGTGAATTGTTTACTGATGCACCTTATATTATATGTTACAAAAGTTCTTTGAATTTTCGAAATATTGTACCTTTTCTACATTTACCAACCACCAGAATGAGCTGCAATTTTCTCTCGGAATTCATTCCCAGACCTTCCACACGTGCAGATAGCCGAGTAATTAAATCAGCTCCAGAGAAACAGTGGCAAAAACAACAATATTTCGTTGGCCATGAGCCGGAGCTTTTTTCCTCGAGCTTTTGACAGACGTGGCAGGGGCGCACTGACATATTAAATGACCGTCTGAAGGAAAAAAGTGCGCGAACGTTGGAATAAAACGTGAATTTCCGGTTCCACTAACTGTGCAGTCGAACGTCTTTTACCGGTATTTGCGAAAAATTAATTAAAATTATGAATTATTTTAAATATTCGTACTCGAAACTGACAATGGCTGTCGGAGGGAAGAATTTTTAAATTTTGATAACTGAACAAGTTACACTTCACTGGATATTATCCTTTTGTTAAACTCTGATCCAGCTAAAATAGCGTTTCAACATTACAATGAATCAATTCTTTTTTTTTTTTTTTTTTTTTAAAATCTAGCATTTAATATTAGCCTAACTGAATAAGGTTCCTTATTCTTACTATAAATTACGTAGCATCTCGTCTATTCGAAGTATATACGTATGTATTTAGGTATTCGGCACAGTTTTTATGAATAACTCGGACCAATTCAATCCCATCTACACTTATATCAACGACGTAACTTCAAGGGGTCTGTTTTCTTGGCGAAAGCCAGACGCCGTTTGCGTCACAGATTATTTTAAGGCGTTTTTAAAATACTCGACAACTAAGAGATAAGTGCTACTATTAGTAGGCTCTAAACGCAAATATTCGAATCAATGAAAAATGTCCTTTTTACATTCGAATACCTTAGTTAAACTAGACCATTAGACTAAACCAGTAGACTAAAGTCAGCATTCATGAATTAGCGAATAACCGACCTATACACGATCTGAAAATTAAAACTCCCCAAATTCACAAGTTAATCGTTTCGTTTAATTCCTGACTGGTACTAAAATCAACAACACCTCTATACAACTATCCTCTACATGACGTAAAAATTAAAACACAATGTTCACGAAATAGCACTTTCCATCGATCCCTAATTAGTACTAAAATCCAGAATACCAGTAGACAATTACCCTTTTCGCAATCTAAAAATTAAAGCTCGACCAATCCTCAACGTTCACGATTTCGACAGCTTCGTTCGGTTCCTAATTAGTACTAAAACCAAGGGGGAAACCTACACAGCCACCCCTCCCCCACCCCCCCAGATTCCAAGAGACTCCCGTGACGGGCCAGACCAAGAATCTCAGGCACCTCCAACATTTCTGGTCCACGTGTGACGAAAGAATCTTCCTCGAAGCTGGCTCGACGGGCCAGCAAGCCACTACAAAAGATTTAAATAGTCGCGGGCGCGAGCGAGAAAGAAGCCGCGCCGGCTCCAATGGAGTGTGGGCTGCCGTCAGGCATCGAACGATGTAACGTCCGCGGACTAGTTTTCTCTGGCGGCTCAAAACGACCAGCAATGCCGCGGTCTTTCACCGGAAACTCTTCGTTTTTCGTGCGTGTGGGACGCTTCGCGACGTCACGATGCCCGTAATTCACCGGTGGATCGCGAAACGACAGTTCCAAGCAATCGATTCGAGAATCTCGATCGAGCGTGTTACGTGTAAAAGGATGTGGGTGTTGTTGACAAATTCCACTGAGGATTGAATCGATTTGTGTCAAGTGGTAATAATGATAGAGATTAGCTGACACAAGTGAAAGTTGAAAGAAGACTTTGTTAGTGTTAATACCTGATCTTCGTGGCGAAAGTATAGTGTCTGTACATGAAGGTGAATGTTTAACTTGCTGTTCAGTTCCTTTGTGCTAGGGGTGGACAGACTGACAAGATTCAGTAATTGGAAAGATACTGGAAAACTGGAATTCGAAGGATCTAGTTGAACAATTTCAATTACCGATGAGAATATTTCGAAACTCGACTAAAGAATCTCTGAGTAGCCCTTAAAAATTGGATCAGTCAACGATTTCGTAAAGAATAGATCAAGAACACTGGGCTCTCAGGTCAAACCTACAATCACGAAATTTTTCGAAAAAGAATGCAAATAATCGTTGAAATATCGAAAAACGTGAGGGAACTCTAACCTGAAGATTCATAAAATTGCCAACCAGGACCACCCAGATTACATGTTCACATCTGGGACCCAAATACTCGAAGCCGTGGAGTCTAGAGGATCGCCGCATTTCAAAGCGAGAACCGTCAGAAAACTGGGACATTTCAAGCTCAAAGGACTTCTGCGAACGTCAAAGAGTCCGTTGGATCGACCAATATCGTCCCCCGAGAAGATGTTCCGAATTCAAAGTCGCCCTCGGGAGGAGTGGACGAAAGGAAAACGAAGTTTCCCAGCACATGTCGAACACACTGGGTAGCAAACTGCTTGGGGGATCTGGATCAAGGACATAGAGCCAACAAAGTGGCTCTGTGTTTCGACGTCGGTGGAAATG